CCTGTCTCCTCTCCCCTGCCCTGGCGTCCAGGGGCTTGGAGACCTGGTGCTGGCAGGGAGAGGGAGTCCAGGACCCTCACTGGGCTCTGCTGCCTAGTGGCTGGGCTGGCCTAGCTTCTGGAATGGTCAGAGTAGAGGGGTCATTGGTCCTATTTGGTCTTTTTGGGACCCTGCTGGCTTATAATGCTGTCCCCCATGGGGCCTATTTGCGCATCCCTAGGCCTCAGACAATCCACCAGACCTGCAGGCATGCACAGGATCTGGGGTGTTCCTTCCGGCTCACTTCAAGGTAGCCCTGCAGCCCCTGCAGGATGCTGCGTGGCCCTGAAAGCAGGCCTTCCCTAAGAGCTTGCAGCTGCCTAGTCTGTGCTGGCTCCTCACCCATCCTGATGCTTCCACATCTCCTCCTGCCCTTCAGGCTCAGTGGGGCCAGCAAGGGTTCAGAATGAGGGGTAAGGACCCTCTCAGCTTCCCTCCATCCTTCTTCTGTCAGTTTCCACTGGGGTGGAAGGGACTAACTTCCACTTCTCTCCCTTTTTACCACAGACCGCCCTACTGACATTTTCTCCTTATAGTTGGATTCGCCTCACACTCAGCCTCAATGGCCAAAGGACTATGTTCTCTAAACTGGAAGACACTACAGATCTAGGCAGCAAGGCCTGGCTCCTGATACCTTCCTGGAGCTGAAGGAATTTAGAGTTCTCTTGCGTCTCCGTTAAGCCTGGTCTCAGTACCATTGATCTGTGTTTTCACAAACTCTCTTTTTCTCTTTACAAACCTGAACCTATCTTAATCCCCTCTGAGAAAATAGCAGGAGAGGCCATGCACAAGAGAAAGTGTCACCCACCTCTGGATGTAGGTCGGCTGCTGTAGCCACGCCCCTTAGGAGAAGCCGTGTCAGGGTGACCCTCTGCTCCCCAAGTGCCTGTAGCCCTGCCTTCCCTCCCCGCCTCCTACAACTTCCCCTGGGCTCCCAATTTTCTCTGTACTGGAAGGAGTGGGCTTCTGGGGGGGCCATGGATGCTTTCTTGACTGACTGGAGCTCTGCTGGCAACTAGAGACAGACCCCCATGTGATGAGGAGGTGGCCTGTGCCTGTGACATGAATCCTACAATTGCCCAGGGCTCTATGTGGCCCGAAATAGGACAAGCATGATGGGATTTTGAGGTCGGTAAGAAAATGTGGTGAGGATTGAAGAGCAGACAATTTTCACATCACAAAAGAGACCGGAAGGCTCATGAGGAGAGGCCGAGGTGGGTTGTATGGGAATCTAGTCCTGCAAAAAATAGACCTGTATGAAAATCCTCCATTCCAGAGAGACTTAGCTGAGTGGTTCAGGGGGTCAGCCCCAACCTCACTGTGCCCGGAGTCAAGGCTGGGACAGTGCCTCTCAGGGAGACAGGGAAGGAGCCGGCTGCAGCGATGCGCTCTGGGCAATGCACACTTGCCCGTCTCCCCCAGGTCTCTGTGGCACTCACCGCCCTTTAGAGACACTCGGCTAAGGGTCCACCATCTTGGAGTCTTGCATCAGAGAGGTCATGGGGCTGGTTTTTGCTGCATAAAACTGATGGTGGCACCCTCCTCAGCTCTTCTTTCCCTGAACTCCTGAACCTCAGAGCCCCTCCCATCCATATGCCCCCGGCCAGGGCCACTGCAGGTTGTGGTCCTGATCACAGTCCCCAGAGCACGCCGCCCCCTCACAGGGACTGGGTTCAGCCAGTGGCATCCCTCAGATGCACACCCAGCAGAAGTGTCAGCAATGAAAGTTGGCTTTGAACAGTTAAGAACAGGTGTGTAGTCACAGAAAAGAGCATAGTCAAGAAGCAGTTTATAAAAGAACGGTGGTAGTTAATGTGATCCAAGGACAGATTTCGCTGTGGCCTAGGGATGCATGTGATTTGGGAGGAGGGTGTCGTCAGTTGTTTATATGGCTGCTTCAGCGTTCACAGGAAACAGACCTTGTGTTTTATAAGAGATATAATCTCTTATGAAACAGACCTTGTGTTTTATAAGAGATATAATCTCTTCCCCACCTTTTTAGGCAGTGGAGAGGGGCAACCTTTGAACTCGCCAGTTCACGATGTCTCAGTCTTCTGTCTTCTGGATGATGTGGGCTTCCTGTCTCCTCTCCCCTGCCCTGGCGTCCAGGGGCTTGGAGACCTGGTGCTGGCAGGGAGAGGGAGTCCAGGACCCTCACTGGGCTCTGCTGCCTAGTGGCTGGGCTGGCCTAGCTTCTGGAATGGTCAGAGTAGAGGGGTCATTGGTCCTATTTGGTCTTTTTGGGACCCTGCTGGCTTATAATGCTGTCCCCCATGGGGCCTATTTGCGCATCCCTAGGCCTCAGACAATCCACCAGACCTGCAGGCATGCACAGGATCTGGGGTGTTCCTTCCGGCTCACTTCAAGGTAGCCCTGCAGCCCCTGCAGGATGCTGCGTGGCCCTGAAAGCAGGCCTTCCCTAAGAGCTTGCAGCTGCCTAGTCTGTGCTGGCTCCTCACCCATCCTGATGCTTCCACATCTCCTCCTGCCCTTCAGGCTCAGTGGGGCCAGCAAGGGTTCAGAATGAGGGGTAAGGACCCTCTCAGCTTCCCTCCATCCTTCTTCTGTCAGTTTCCACTGGGGTGGAAGGGACTAACTTCCACTTCTCTCCCTTTTTACCACAGACCGCCCTACTGACATTTTCTCCTTATAGTTGGATTCGCCTCACACTCAGCCTCAATGGCCAAAGGACTATGTTCTCTAAACTGGAAGACACTACAGATCTAGGCAGCAAGGCCTGGCTCCTGATACCTTCCTGGAGCTGAAGGAATTTAGAGTTCTCTTGCGTCTCCGTTAAGCCTGGTCTCAGTACCATTGATCTGTGTTTTCACAAACTCTCTTTTTCTCTTTACAAACCTGAACCTATCTTAATCCCCTCTGAGAAAATAGCAGGAGAGGCCATGCACAAGAGAAAGTGTCACCCACCTCTGGATGTAGGTCGGCTGCTGTAGCCACGCCCCTTAGGAGAAGCCGTGTCAGGGTGACCCTCTGCTCCCCAAGTGCCTGTAGCCCTGCCTTCCCTCCCCGCCTCCTACAACTTCCCCTGGGCTCCCTCCCCCCTCCCCCCACTACAGTCACACTTCTCTTCTTGGCCCCTAGACCCTCCAGGCCCTTCTACATCTGGTCTTTCCAACCAACTCTCCTTTTTGCTGGGCTATTCCTCCTCCAGCTGCTCACAGACTCATTTCCTCTCAGTCATTCATGTGTTCAGAACATTTTTACTGTGTCCTTACTAATAATTTTCAGGCACCATGTCAGGTGCTGGGAATTCAATAGGAAGCAAATGGAACTGAAGATTTATTAAGGGGGACACTGAATTGATCCAATGGGTGAGTGTAAACATTCAACTGTGATAAATGTCTAGAAGTACAGTGATAGGAGGACTCCTAATAGGGAAATCTGGCAGGGGTTTAGAGGTCAGGGGGTGCTTTCCTGAGGAAGCAGAAATGAAGCTGAGATCTGATTGAGAAGGGGGAGTGGACTGGGCTGAGAGGAGAGGAAATAACTGGTGCAAGGGCCCTGTGGTAGGAGTGGAGGAAGGTGCATGGCCAGGAAAAAGGGCTAAAGGAAGTATGGGGGCAGGTGGCTGGAAGGAGTGAGCAGAACATGATCTAATCTGGAGTCCAGGTCATATCCTATCCATGGCTAAGTTCAACTGATTTTATTCTCAGTATCTCAAATCTTTCCACTTGTCAGTCTCTCTAGAAAAATACCACTGACCTCCAGTTTGAGGGATATTTCAGGCTTCTCTGGTCCCTGGGGCAGCATCTGGCTGCCTCCCTCGCGTGGCTTCATGACTTCCATGGCTCTTAGGGTTTACTTCCTCGTTTGCCGATAGCTCGTTTCTGTCTCTTCTGTGAAATCGTCCTGCTGTCCTCATAGCCAGCTACTAAGTTACAGAATTCCTCCGGGTCTAGCCCCAGGCCTCTCACTCTCTCCCCAGGCAATCAGGCAATTCTGTTCACACTTCAGCAGGCTTCAGCTGTTGCTCAAACACAGATGACGCACATATTTTCTCACCCAGGCCTCTCTTCTGGACCCTAGCTGTTTACTTAATAATTCCACTGAGGTCACAACGGCTCCTTCAACTCAGTGTGTGTCCATGACCCAACTCTTGATCTGTCCCTCTAATCCATGTCCTTCCCCAGAATCCCCTGTCTCAGCAAAGAGCTCGCCATCCCATTACACAAGCCAGAGATTTGGGAGTCTCCTCAGTGCCTTCTTCTCTATCACCTCTATGTCCAAACACCATGTTCTGGAGATTTGACCTTCTAAATCTTTCTCAAGCTCACCTGCTTTTCTCCCTATCCACTACCACCCGCTCAGTCCAGTCACCACCCATTCTTGCCTGGATGCCTACAACCCTCTCTGGCCCTTTTCCAGTCCGTCGTCCTCCGTGCTGACAGGGTGAGCTTTTGGAAACATAACATTGGATCATATCACATCACATCACGTGTTTCCCCAGCCGTACAATCCTTCTATGGCTTCTTATTCCTCTTAGGAGCAAGAAAAGTCCTCAATAAGGCCTGCTTGGTTTGGGGCCTCCCCTCGCGCCGCTCTCCTTCCCGCCTCCATTAGTGTTTTCAGCGGAATCTGTGGGGCCCGTTGCCTCCTCACATGGACCTGGGAAGCCCAGTAGTACGTTTACAACCCTCTCTGAGGGTGAGAATGCTCTGCAGGGGCTATTCCCATCTGTGTTATGTTAATAATAAACTTCAGTTACTCAGAGGATCTTGTCTGTTAGTCCTCGGAATGCAGCCCCCTCAGGGCCTTTACACACTCTCCCAGGTGATGTGGGGTTCCAGCTCAGGGATATGTTTTGGGCAGAGAATGAACTATTTTTAAAATGAAGATTTGCCTGATTCCCTTGGATTATGAATGGGTTCCAGGAGGCTCCTGCGGGACTCACTCTTGAAGAACCCTTTCTGTGTCTCTACAGATTCTTTGTTTTCCCATTGTAGCCATGGAAATAAAGAAGTCTTCTCTTGCCGGGGAATCCAGCTGGCTGTGGACTGGTTCAGGGACAGAGGACACACCTACATCAAAGTTTTTGTCCCATCCTGGCGGAAAGACCCACCAAGATCTGATACCCCTATTAGAGGTATGCTGGAGCCGATGCAGCACAAGAGGGTCATGCATGCGCCTTCCCTTGGTAGTGCGCCCGACAGTGACAGTCAGGGATCTGCTTTGCTGTTTGATGACGTCTGTCTTCCTCCCTGGACTGTAGGCTTCTGAAAGCCCCGACTCTGAGCAGTCACCAGTGTAGACCTAGCACCTTGTCTGATACCTGCCACATAGTAGGGGCTTAATAAATGGTTGTTGAATATATGAATGAACAACTGATTTCATCTTTAAGTGTGAATGATGAAATTCCAAAAATAATTGCATCTTACCACTTTTAATACTCTGCAGAAAGATGGGATCTGCATCCCACCCCTAAGAGATACAGGATCTGAATGAGACATTCATTTGGTCCTGTGATATTTATTTCCTGAACACCTAGCCCAATCTCTTTGTTGAGGGGGGGAAAGAAACAAAGAAATGGAGACTAAGGGAATTCTTCATTTTTAATTCTTATATCAGCAACATTTTAAGCTTCAAGTAATAGAACAGGCAGTTTAAGTAAACAGGATTTTTTTTTTTTGGCTCTTTTATAGCAAGAAGTCAGATGTTAAGCCATTACTGGCATTGTTTCAACCAAGTCAGTGATGATAGGGCTGAGTTCTTGGTGATTCTGGGAGATTTCTTTGACTTTTTCTTCCAGCCTTTTTACCTAAAGAAGGTTTGTTTTTGATTCTATGGTTACCAATTGCTGCTGCTTCTCTTTCTGATCCTCTGTCTTATTTTTTAGGTACAATGCTATTCTTTTCTTATGGATGCAGTATCTGTGAATCATATTTATTTTTGGGGGTGTCTTGTTCCTCTCTCTCTCTCTCTGGGCTGTTAGGTCTTTTTCTCAAAAGTCTGGTGACCCTTATCTGCCAGTTTTTATTTGTGAATAAGGAACCAGATGGTTAAATCCACATCTATGTGATTCCCATAAGTTTGTTCTCCTAGGATGCAGATCTTTCCTGAATGGCAGCACTGACCACCGGTGTTGAGTGTCTGATTTCTCTCTAGCATACCTCTCGTGGCGCAGGCAGGCTGCCGGGCACCTCTGCTCACCACTCTCCCAGGGCCACAGTGATGCTGGTTTTACTCTAGGAGGCCACTATCTCCTTCCTAGTTTTATCTTCCCTTTTCTTAAAGGGAAGGGTTAGTGGAGAGGAAAAGGGTTAGCCACTCTGACTTCTGTCGATTTCCTGCTCCCTCTCCATGTGCCTGAGTGCTCTGGGCCTTTGCAGGGAAATGGTTCCACCACGCCAGCCTTCTGGGCTGTGGCTCTCTCTGTGCCACAGGATCCATATGACCCTATATAAATTTGTCAGAATCCTGGGTATGTTGGGGTCCCCAAGCCCATTTTTAGTGTGATTATGGTCCCCCCTACCTTTTGGGTTTCTTTACCGCCATGTCAATGGGATTATGAGGAGGGGTGGGGATAAATACTCTGTTCTGCCCTGCACTGTGAACCTGTTACCCCAAATTATTCTTCATGCTCCCAACATGGAGAACAGTGGCTTTCAACAATTTTGTAATATTTAAAAAATAATATGGGTGAAGAGTAGGGAAGTCATTTTGGGGTAGGGAAGGAGTTTTTAAAGAAACCACAAGTGCACAGCTACAGGGGAAAGATTCATGAATTTGACTATTCAAAAGAAAAGCTTCTGCTCATTAGCAGATATCACAAAAAAATAAAAAATAAAAAACACAAGACAGGCCTCAAACTGGGAGATGCCAAACATAACATATTCCTGGTGAAGGATTACTGTCCAGAATCTATAGAGAACGTCTCCAAATTAATAAGACAAAGACAAAAGACAAATAGAAAGATGAGCTAAAGCATGAGCCAGGTTGTTCACAGAAGAGAAAACATAAATGGCCAGCAAACATATGGAAAGATGCTCAATCTCATTAGTAGCCAGAGAAATGCAAAATAAAACCACAGTAAGAGGCCACTTGATATCCCCCGATTGGCAAAAATTCAAAAACCTGAAAAATCTAAGTATTGGCAAGGTCGTCTGAAAGGCCATGTCCGCGTAACTTGATATGACCGCTTGGGAAAACAATTTGGCATTATCTTATAAAGTGCCTTTCCCTGTAACTCAGCAATGCCACTCTCAGAGAAAGACCCTAGAGAAACCTTTGTTCTTCTGTACCCAGAGACTTCTGTGCAAAACTGAATTCTTAGAGGGATAGTGAGAGATGCAAACGGGGAGGGGCAGTGGCGACTTCAAAAGTGGGCTATGCTGTTTTTCCAGCAGAGCACTGCCCATCTGGCAAGTAAAAAAAATAACTCTTTACACCATCTGGAAACTGTGTCCTATAGGAAAGGACCTAGACTTGAGGGAAGAAACAATTTGTGAAGAATACGCTAATACACTTTCCAAGTTCTGAGTAGCTGCCTTGTGTAGAAGCCGCTTGTGTCTACTGTGGTGGGGCACTGTGGCCTGTGGCCATCCAAAGGCCAAGAGCTGTAGCTCCCATCTTCCTTCTAAAGTGACTCTCCCTTGTTGGGTACCATCCGCTGGACACCAGTCATGACACAGGCAGGACAGAAGCCAAGAGCCCTCTTGACTTCGGGCTGCTGCCAACTTCCTCCCAAGGCCTCCCCACTCCTCATCTGCCAGGCTGGGCTCAGGGATAGGGAGGCGGGTGTTGGCCAAGAGAGGACCCCTGAGCTGCCAGAAGTGCTCCGTGATCTCAGAATGGCTCTCGGGTGGGGAGGCCTTCCGAGAAAGCTGCTACATGCGGTCTCCCACCTGCCCTGTGGCCCCCAGAGCAGCATGTGCTGGAGGAGCTGGAGAGGCAGGAGGTGCTGGTGTACACCCCGTCCCGCAAGGTGAACGGCAAGCGGGTGGTCTGCTACGATGACCGCTATATCGTGAAGGTGGCCTACGAGCAGGACGGTGTCATCGTCTCCAATGACAACTACCGCGACTTGCAGAGCGAGAACCCCGAGTGGAAGTGGTTCATCGAGCAGAGGCTGCTCATGTTCTCCTTCGTTAATGATCGGTATGCGGTGGCCCTGGGGGTCCTGGCATGGGAGGGCTGGGGGTGGCCAGCAGAAAGCCACTCCAAGTGGTGTAGGCCCAGCAGGGCTGGTAGTCTCAGGAACACCATGCCCCAGCAAAGGACACCCAGCCCTGGAGACAGAGCCTGCCCGAGGTCACCTGCCCACCCCACTGCCGAGTCCTCTGTCCCTCCGGGTCTCCTCTCTCTTGTGACTAGCTTTCTCCACCAAGGCTTGTTTGTACCGACTGTCCCTGACCTTTCTGTTCCCATGCCTACATTTAGTTGACCCAGCACAGAGTTATTCAGCAGCTGGGCCAAACATGGACTTGGTGCACCATAAACTTTTTGTCTTTACTTTTAAGGAATTTAATACTTCAAATAAGAGCCCAGAAAAAGTCATTGTGGGGAAAATCTGAAGTTTGTTGCACTTCTTTTCACTTATTATGTTTCTGTCCGTGTTTCAAAAAAGTTTTGAATTACATATGGGAGTGGGTGACATCAGCTTTCCGTTGGGGCTGTGAAGACCTAGGAACTGACTGTCTCAGTGTGTCTTGGTTGCAGTTTTCAAGAGAATCTGGTTGGTTAGTCTATCCATCCCCTGGACTGTTTCCCCCGGGTCAGGTCCACCCTGGATCAACCAGCTACAGTTGGAGTTGGGTGGCGGCTGCCCACTGCAGACATCCTCAGGCATGCTGCAAGGTGGGTGTGAGTCTGAGACTAGCATAGGGTAGACAAGGTGGGGAGGGCACAGCCAGCTGGGACATTGCTCCCATTTTTAACTTCCGTTCCGGGCAATGCCAGCAGGGTCCTCATTCTGGGCTCTCTGACTAGCGTTTAGGAACATGGTTTGGGACAAGCTCCCCAACTCTGTGGGGGCAGGGCCTGTGTGTATCTTATCTGCCATGGCCCCAGCATGTCTGGCACATCATAGGTCCTCAATAATTAGCGGTAGATGAATGAGAAAGTGAATGGCTGTGTCCCTGGGAGGGAGGGGAGAGTGAGGCAACATGCCAACTGGGACAGGCCGCCTGCATGCAGCAGATAACCAGCTGCTGATGAAGACTGGGAGGCAGCATGGTGCAGAGGAGAGAGCTGGGGCTTTGGAGGCAGCAGATGAGGTTCCGGACGGGGGCTCTGCCATTTACAGGCTCTGTGTCTTGGGCAAATCACTCAACCTCACTGAGCTGAAGGTCTTCCCCTTGAATTGATCATACCATGTGTGAAATGGTTTTGAGGTAGAGGAGTTGCTCCCCAGAAGTGGCAGGTCACCGTTGCCCTCGTTGCCACCTGGCCTGCAGCCCTGGGGCAGAGGCACCCCCCTGAGTCTCAAGGCGGAGGCTCCCACAGCTAACCTGCAGGAGTCCCAATGGCCATTTCCACATACTCAAGTCCAGTGACTTCCTCCATCCGATCAGACCCAGAGGGATCTGGCAAGTCTGGTGATAGTGAGCTCCAGAAAAATCCTCCCTGAGGTCTGAGGGATCATGACTGCCTTGGGTCTGGTGACAGCCTGGGGCCTGGGCCAAGTCTTTTTGATGTACTGGCCTCCACCCAGAGCCTGTCGGAAGGTCCCCTGGCTGCCAGAAGGCAGAGGCTGCCGCCAGCCTGTGGGTGAGGGGGCCCGCCCCGTGCCCTGGGCCTGTCCTTAGGGCCCTCTTGGCCCAGCTCACAGCGGCCGAGGCCCGGAAGTGAGCAGGAGGTGAAGCCTTTGGGAACTTTTAATAACCTCAGTGGGTGGCGCCCCAGATTCTTGGTCAGAACCCAACTCGGAGACGCCGGCTGTGTCGCTGGGATCAGAGCCAAGGAGGCTGCCCGGGACTGGAGATTGCCCAGTTCCAGGCTGCCTGGTGGACGTGGTTTGCAGGGTGGGACCTCAGCATGACCCTTGACTCTTCGGGGGGCACCAACCCATAAAAACAGGCCCCCCATTTAGAATCTACCACCCATCGAGCGGAACCTTTGTATGACCTGGAGGTGCCTCCTGGGAACACAAGCATGCATCTGACACATGGATGGCCCAAACGAGGGGCTTTCCTTCTGAGGAATGTTGTTTGCTCCTTTGAACAGGGGCACCTTGAGGCTGCAGCTGCTTCCTTGTTAGATTTAATGCCAGGGAGAAGGCAGGGGCAAGGTGGTGGCAGAGACCATGGCTGGTCCTGCTGCCTCAGGAGCTGAGGCTGAACCCAGGGACCCCTGGCTGCAGAGGAGGAGTGGGGCCTACAGTGAGGCTCTGGGATCCGCCTCTTCATGACTCACCGACTGGCGTTTCAAACTCTCGGTTAATATTTATCCCCCACCTGTGTGTGCCCAGAGCTGCGAGGTGACGCAGGAGAAGAGGGCTCTCAGCCTCAATCTGCTTACGGAACTAGGGCCGGTTGTAGTCCATGGTAGCCCCATGGATGCCTCTGACTTTCTGTTGAGGACAGTGGGTTAAAATTGGATAAAAATCAGCCGAACCACTTGAGACTCTGATTAAGCAGGTGTGGTGTGAAGGCTGGACTCCGCATTTTCGAGGAGATGCTAGGTGACCTGAACCTCCGCAGGAGAAAGTCTCAGAGAGGCCCAGGGGCAGTTCTCCTGGCACAGGTGCTGTGCTCCATGCGGGATCAGGGAGAACCAGGGGGCTGCTGCTTGAACATGCTGTGACAGCCCCGTGGGAGCAGGAGCCCCGACAGTGAGCCCAGGCCAGGCCGGGCCTGCTGCTGACATTCCCTGGGAGCTCAGGCCTGCTCCCCGTGCAGGTGCCGGCAGGAGCCCCTGTGGGACCTGCAGTTGCCTTCCTGCGCTTGCTTTCCAGGTTCATGCCTCCCGATGACCCCTTGGGCCGCCGGGGCCCCACCCTGAGCAGTTTCCTGAGCAGGAAGCCGAAGCCCCCAGAGCCATCGTGGCAGCACTGCCCCTACGGTGGGTAGCATGCTGTGTCTCGTGCCCTTTTCGGGGCCTCATGTTGGCTGCGCAGGGCAGCCAGAAGCTCCAGAAGAACCTGGGTCCTAGCCTGAGTCATGCTCTTAACTAGCTGTGTGACCCAGAAGAGGTAATTTAACCTCTCTGGACGGTGCTTTCCTGACAGGGTTTTGGTGAGGATGAACTGACATCCTGTGTGACTGTTGTGAGGGAGCCATGTGAGCCAGCGCAGTGCCGAGCCTGCTAGCCAGCCCTGACACTAACCTGCTTTGGCAGCATATTTATTAATGTCCCCAGGTCTTGTTTTTTTTGTTTAAAGGACTTTAAAAAGCCTTAAGTGATATTCAGAGTCATTCTGTTTTAGAATTAAATTGACCACACATACATTCAGGTTGGCTCATCTCCCTCGAATTCACTGAAAAGTGCTCAGATTTGGGTGATTATTTGCTCACCTCCGTTAGCATAGTCTGCAGGGAGAGGGCAATGGCTAGCACGGGGGATGTGGGCAGTGGTGGAAACTGAGGCAGCACTGGAAGTGCAATCCTATGCCGTGAGCACCCTCTCCCCACCCCCAGGTTTGGCTGTAGCCACAGGGTCCCTGAGGACGTGGAGGCTGAGGTCACTGGATCCAGAGATTTGCTCTCAGTCCCTGGTCAAAGGGGGCCCCCACACCGACACCCACTCTGCCCGACACTGGGGTCATTGTGCCAGTGCCCCACACTACAGGGACGGGGTGCTGAACCCTCGCCCACCCCACCTGCACCCCAGGGCACTTCTCCCCACTCCTCCCACCCCAGTCCTGATTGGTCTGCGGTGGGCCTGCGGCCGTCCGGGTGGAATCACCAAGGAGAAGGGCCTCATGTGTCGGGCGGGCATTGGCCAGACCACACGGGGCACACAGCCTCCCCCCCAGGTCTCACCCGCGCCTTCTCTGTCCCCTGCTTCTTCCAGGCAAGAAATGCACCTACGGCATCAAGTGCAAGTTTTACCACCCCGAGAGGCCGCACCACGCGCAGCTGGCAGTGGCAGATGAGCTCCGCGCGCAAACACGGGCCTGGCAGGGCGCTGGCCCCGAGGCGGGGCGGCCGAGTAGCTCGCGGGCGGTGGCGGGCCGCGGGGAGCAGGGCGGCCCCCCGGGAGCGCCCACAGCCCGGCATGGCCCCCGAGAGCCCGGCGCGCACAGCCTGCCCCCTGCGCCGCGGGCTGCGGACGTGGCCGCCCTCGGGGGCAGCTTCGCGAAGCTCGCCTTCCACGACGACCCGGGGCTCCTCGGGGCGACCCCCCCGGGTCCAAGCTGCGGCCTCGCACCCCGGCCGCGCTGTCTGAACTGGGTGTCGCCCGAGGCCCCGCCGTGCCCGGGGGCCCTGCCCCGACTCCCCAGCCCCCAGAACCCGTCTGGCCCTCAGGTCCGGCGGCGGGGTGGGTACCGCCCCGGGGACCCGCAAGGCGACCTGCTCCCCCAGCGCAGGCCGCGCACCTTCCCAGGAGGCGACGACCGGTTCCAGGGCCCCTCCGCCTGGGCGGAGCCGGGCTGGGCAGACCGCGCCTTCAGGGGACCTTCGGGGTCCGCGCGCCCCGCTGATACCCGCGAGGTAGACGCGCGTGCCCGGGCGCGCATCGCGCTCTGCAGCATCTTCCCGACGCACCAGGTGGACAGCGTCATGGCCTCGTTCCCCGCGCTCTCCGACGTCACCAGGCTCATCCTCCTCATCCAGAGATTCCAAAAGTCTGGCGCTCCCCTGGGAAAATCCTAAGGAACTGGTCCAAGCCGCCGCCAGCGTTGGTCCAGTCTAGCATTGCAACTTGGGCCAGGCAGGTTGCCAGCCTTCACCTCGTCTGCCCACCTCGTGGGACCACTTTTCTTTAAGGACGGTCGGGGGAGCCTGCTCCTCGCCTGCAGCCAGGGCCCTGGGTGGCACTTGGTGGTGCTCCTGGATAACTGTAGGGCCTGCTGCTGGGGGTCCATGACCTGCAGAATGAAGAGGGAGTGATTTCTTATGCTTGGAAGACTGTAGGTCCCTCCATGGCTCCTGGGTTATGCTGGGAACACTCCACGGCTGTTTTGGTCAAGCTGTGGTTGGGATCCACAAGTGGGTCACAAGGTAATTTAGTAGGTCCCACCGGAAATGGAGTGGAATAGAAAATCTCAGCGTACACCCCATATAATCAGGCTATGTATGAAATTCTTGTTTGTTAGCCACACGTGTGAGCCTGTATAACCTTGGTGGCCATGTACACTTAACGTGGGTCATGGGTGAAAGTGTGAAAAATCCTGGTAAATGGCCTTGAATTTCATTGCATCAAATCTTGCTTAAATATGTATCAGTTGACCAGTGGAGGTTTTGACATCTGGAGGTTTATCATACAAACTGTTTTGAACCCCAGGAGGGGAACCTAGAGGTCTAGCCTTGATGTGTATGGGTTCCACTGGTCACTCTGAAATTGTGTGGCTGTGCTGGTCTGTGGAGGTCCTGAGGCCTGTCTCCGGGCCTTTGCCCCTTCACACACATTCATACCACATGAATGTCACACACACCCAGACACACACGCAACCACGTACACTCACATGCACACCCCACTCGAGTCAGGACTAAGTGGCCTGTTGTTTTCAGTCACCCATTGTGTCATTTTCCAGCACAAGCCCTCTGCTGGCCGAGCCTTCTAAGTCACTCTTCCTAGCTGAGCTAAGGCCTGGTGAGTGAGGACTTCTGCTCAGAAACCTCCAGGTGGGTCAGTGACGACAGCTTGGAGGTTTTTGCTTTCTTCTGCCATTGCTGTTTCTTCCATCAAGGTATTGCTCTGAGTTTTGGGGAGAAGGGGCCCACCCAGTTGCAATGGACAGGAAATGAGATCATGCTGCGAGACCATGAACCCTGCATCCTCAGGCCCTGGCATCTCAAGGTGGCATCCCCCATTCACTGCGGGTTACACGTCCAGCTCCGCAGGTCTTGGTTCATTTGTTCATGAGGAGCTTTGTTGGCTAGACCAGAAGGGAGAGTGGGAGGAACTGTCCAATGGAAAACTGGCTCTCAAAGCCCGAAGGCTTCCTGTGGACGGGCAAGCGCAGAGGGACACTCCTCAGGGCATGACTTGGACGCAGGCACTGTTGGCACAGCTGGAGTGCACCCCTGGGAGAATCTGCCCCTAGCTTCCAACTCATGGTGAACGCCGCCTGGGAGATCCAGTGACAGTGTGTCTCCTGTTGCCCCTTTCATCTTTTAAGACCAGATTCTCAGTGTGGCTTCAGCTGGATCTGTTCCCACCTCTTTTCTAAAGAGGACACTATACCCACAATTGCACTGTCAATTTTGGTGCCTCAGCCCTGTAGAGGGCCCCCTCTTTCTAGATAAACTGGATTTCCCTCCAAGTGTGTGTGTGTGTATTTTCTCTTGGTCATCAAGCTTTACGTGACAGCTGCTTTTGTGTTGTGGGTCCACAGACGTGGAGTCGCTTCATTGCTCATTCACAGTTGGAAATGTTTAAACTGCTTCCTTTGAGGATTTGAAGACAAGGTTGAGTTTTAGTAAGCTGTTAAAGCTGCTCTGTTTGGTCGCTGTGATTAACGCAAGCGCAAAAACAAGTTGAAGAAACAGCATATTTCAATGTAACCCCCTTTGGAATGTTTTCCAAAGTCTTGGTATGTCTTTGTGACACAAAACATGGCGGGGAGGGCTGGATGACGTGTTCCTAGTTGCATACCTGTTACTGTGCTCCAAAAATAAATCACTTTTACCGCACCTGAACTCTCCATTGTCAAACTGCAGATGAGTTTCTCCTACTTTGTTTTTCCCCCTAGGCTGGTTTTCCATGTTAAACATTGTGGGTTAGACAGAGGTTAGGGCTACTTTCTTCAGTGTTACCCCACCATTGGGGTTGGTGGGGGCTGGAAATCACTTTTTTTTAGGAGAAGCAGTGAGGCCCAAGGCCTTTGCTGGATGCTCAGAAGATTGTTCCTAAGATCACAGGCTGCTTGCCCGTCTGCTGGACTTGAGAATTCTCATTGCAATCACGTAAAAGTCACTCTCCTGGTGAAAAGACTCTGGTGCAGAGTCCTTGATTGCCCAGGTCTGAGGAGCCTGGTGTTATACTATGTTTATGCCAGGGCAGCTTCCCCAGAGGCCTCTGGGAGGTGGTTTGAGGCAGCCCTGCAGAGTGTTGGAAATGTTTGAGAGGTAGAAGCACGAGAAGCCACTCACATTGGCATTGCCCTAGAGAAAATGACCCCAGCTCCCAGTATTTTACAGAGCTCGCAGATGGGGAGCAACCAGCCAACTCTCAGTTGGCCCAACACGGCTCCCAGTCCCCTACGGGGGAGAAGAGCACAGGGGAGTCGGGGAAGAGGCATTCCGGAATGGGGTTGGAGGAGGGGCTCTGGGAACTGGAGCCATTACTTGGAATCACAAATCCCGCCGCCATGAGGACATTCCTGGAGCTGGGACCAGTTACATGACTTGTGGAGCTCTGTGCAAAGTCAAAATGCAGGGTCCCTTGTTCAAAAGTTATGAAGAATTTCAAGACGGTGACAGCAGAACATTCAAACAACCATGTGGTCCTCCTAAGTGCAGGGCTCGTGTGGCCAAACAAGGTTGCCCCACTTGGAGTTACAAAAAAGACGCCACACCCAGAGTGTGTTTATAACACAACAGTGAAAGAAGTCAGAGCCCAGGATAAATGCACACACTTGGAGCTGGGAAAGGCCATGTGTGTCTGAGGCAGGTTTTTGCTGCATCCACCCGAGGACTGAGGGGGCCTTCTGTGGCTTTCTCTGCCCACCTCTGATGCAGGGGCTAAAGAGAAGTCGAGGGCCTTGGGCAAACCACACACTGGATCGGCCACTTTCAAATGGGTACGAGATGTTGGTTGGGGTGGTTCTAACCAGGCAGCAAGCCTGCTATTTTTTATTAAGCAAGGCTCTTTGGCTACAAGCATGACTTATAAACCAAAAGCCAGGGGTGGGAGGCAGCTGGCTTAGTTGGAATTAGGGGCTTGAACCCTAACTGGGCTGCCTCGTCTGTTTTCTGCGTGTGGGATTGTTCTCTGCTTCCAGGGTTTGCCTACACAGCGAGAGCCATTCTGTGGGCAGACCAAGGTACATATCCTTCCAAATGAAGGACTCAAGGCAGCCTCGGAAAACTCCTGGAAGAATTCTGCCTGGCCTGGCTTGGCTCATGTGCCCACCCCTGGACCAGTCTCAGTGAGGTCCTACAGTCAGTCCTGCTGAGTCTGACACCCATCCTGTTGGGAAGGGGGCATGTTGGCTCCCACCTGGACCCATGTGGTTGGTGGGGGCTGGGGGTGGTGAGCAGTTCCCTCAAACAATGGGGACGGTGTCCAGACAGCCAAAAAAAAAAGCCTATAATGATGTTCAAACGTGGGGACTGGGCCAGAGTTTAGAATGGCCCCACCCTTCACCCCAAGCTCTGGTCCTGAGAAAGGAGCTGCTGGGTTTATTCTTTTTCTCCGTTAGGACCAGTGAGGTTGTGTTACAGAAACCAGACAGTCCAGGATCCCAATGGCTGTCATTTTCCTCTGGCAACACAGCTTTCTTCGAGGAAGGCGGGAGGGCCTCCTGCAGGGGCCCGAGGTATGCCTGTGTTGATCTTGCCAGCCTGGGACTACAGCCAGGAGCAGCTCAGCGGGGACATGGCCAGGAACCCCTGGAGGGGAGGAAGTGGCTCTTGAGAGTCAAAAGGTGACCTTTCCACTTTTTACTCACCTCTGTGTGCACTGATGCCCTCTAGAGCACAGGAAGGTCTTGGAATCACAGCAGCGCAGCCCAGCCGCTGGCAGCCCTGCTGGAAATGAGGGGCTGGGGCCGCACCCAGCTTGGTGGTCACTTTGTTTTGAGTTCCTGGGGGAACATTGTCACCTGTCTGTCCTAATGGAGAAATGACACACTCATCCCAATGCCAGGAACAGGAAAGGTGCTGGCTAAGTAAACAGAAAGACCAGTGGGCACAGTGCTCAGAGGCCTGCTGAATGCCACTGTTATTGACTGACTGTCAGACACTGACAGACTGACAGGGGTTGGAGGTGTGGTCAGTGCTGTGGCTGTTAGGGGTGATTACTCAAATAGGATTAGCAAAGCACAGTAGTTTGATTTTTTCTGGTCATGCTTAGCCCTGAAACCAATGTTCATGCCTGACTGAGCCTCCAAAGGTTAGTCTTACTGACGCCGTTCCCGACGAGGCGGTTCACAGAGGCGCTGTTTCCCCAAAGGAAGCCTGGGAAGCACAGGATGGAGCTGGGGTTCCTTTCCCAACAGCAGCGATTTGTCTCGATCTGGCCCTTTTCTCTCCCTGAGACTGCCTCTGGCTCTCATTTTCTCAAAACTGCTGCTTCACACAACATCACGCACCAGCAGTCCTCTGGTTCCCTGTTCTGCTTGATGGTGACCCTTTGCTCTCCCGCGCTCCCCCACGTCTGCCTCTACCCCTGCCCTCAAGGCTCCCCAGCCTGCAAAGCCTTTTTCTTCCCGTTTCCTCCACAAGAGCTGCCCAGGCCATTGCAGCGCTTGTGAGCCACCCTGCTTCTCAGACTGCTTCAGTGTTATCCTTTCAGGGGCTGAACATTTCCGGACTGCTCCACAGCACTTCTGAAACAGTTCTGCTCTGATTGGGTAGTTCTTGCTCATTGTTGAACTCTCTTCTTGTATTTAAGACCATGTGCGCTTGGAGGGTTGGGACTCTGTCTTTAAGCTTGTCCTTCCATCAGCCCTGGGACCAGTCAGTCAGGACCAGTGAGGTTGTGTTACAGAAACACAACAGCCCGGGATCCCAATGGCTGAGACCATAGAGTTCGTTTCCCCATTGCGCTACATGTCCACTGTAGCTTATCTGGGCTATGCGCCCAGGCTGAGGGAGGCGCTGTCCCTGCTTCAGAGGGGACTGAAAAAGAGAACATTCTTATATGCGCACTGGCTCTTAAAGCTTGTGTGTAGATATCATCACTGCTCACATATCATTGGCCAAAACAAGTGACATGGCAACACCTAACTCCCTGGGGGCTGAAAGTATAGCTCTACTGTGTGTCTGTATATGGTCTGTATATGTCTGTACATTGATCCATGCATGGAGAACAGCACTAGGGTGATTAGCCTGTGGTGGAGTAGAGTGAAATATCTACTGATTGAAAAGCTCAAAGAAAGGGATAAGTTAGATGAAGCCTGGCAGGTCTATTTAATGGAACACTATAAACCACTGAAATGATATTACAGAAGGATATTAATGACATAGAAAATGTTGAGTATACATTATGAAGATCTCTTTTTTGTTTAAAAAGTGCATAGTATATTTATAGAAAAGAACCAAAGAAAATTCTCTAAAAGATCAACAGAATATATACTAGGGTGGCGGGATTATGATGACAGATGGCCCTCTTCCCTTTTTGGTCTGTATGTATTTTTCTAATTCATTGATAATTTATAACTTGGGTAACAAGAAAAAAATTCCTTGCTAAACAGTGCTGCCTGTTACAATGTGTTATAATATCCATTCACTATAAAAGACTCAGAATAAGTCAGGCACCTTGGACTGACATCTGATAACACCAAATGTAGATGCTTCCAGACCTCTTCCCATACATGCACGCATACTTAACTGAAAGGGAATCTAGGGCCTGGGTTGCACTGGGCTGGTGTCAGTGACATTGTAGTCCAGGTGGCATCGTGCTGGTTCCACTGCCAAAAAATCCTGAGCAGGCCCTGGTGCCTGGGAAGTTTGAGGGATCCTGGGCGGCCCCCTAAAAGCTCCATGTCTGCTGGCTTCAGGGGCCATTCCATCAATTTATGACGCTGCAGGCCATGGACACAGGCATCTGGGATCTGATCCTGCAGGGATAAGAGGCAACCCTCACTGTGGAGATTCCGGCCCTGGGGCCTCAGCCTTATCGCTGGAGAGAGAAGGAAGATGGACATTTCCACATTCGCTGTTTATGTTCTTTGAGTTGTTTCAGCTCAAGGGAATTTTTTTTGGCTAAGTCGTGTTCAAAATAACTCTTCATCATCTGTTTGGTGCAAATGCAGTTAGTTGATTTATGGCTGTGCTGACCTTTGATTCACTGGCAGAGCACTGCCTGGGGCCCTGGGGAGGTTTTCCTTTGCTTGTTTACTCAGAGTGATTTCAGAGCTGTCCCGCCAAGAAGGTTTCCCTATTTCTTCCATCCCAGGACCTGACCACGTGGCCCCTGCCCTCGGGGGTCACACCCTGGTGGGGCTCAGCTCCGGATTTTACACAGAGTGACAGTTATCCTTTGGATGCCCTGACCACGTCACTCAGTTTCTGGCTTGTAAGCCCTTTTAAGAGGCCCCCAGGGACGTCCCCAGAGCAGCACGTCTCCCTGCTCTCTGCTGCTGGCAGCCCTGCCTCTTCACACTCTTCTGGGCTCCTGCCCCTCCATTGCTGGGGGGCTGAGGGGGGGCAGATGAGCTGTTATTGTTGATTCTGATGGGTTAGCCTCACTGCAGTACAGAGTCTGTGAGCACAGCCAGGGCTCAATCTAAAGGAATGAACTATTGGTATTTGCAACATGAATGAACCTCAAAATAGTTATGCTGAGTGAAAGAAGCCAGTCAGACAAGAATACCTATTGTGTGATTCCATTTATATAAAGCTTTAGAAAATGTAAACTGATCTCTGGTGCTAGAAAGCAGAGGAAAGCTTACCTGGAGATAAAGGGTAGGAAGGCGGGACTTCCAGGGGTGTGAGGAAACTCAGTGGGGTGGGTACGTATACAGATGTCAAAACTCATCAACTG